CACGTGCCTCCCCCAGGGCCAATCTCCCCCAGGCAGGAGAAGATGGCTGGCACTTTCCTTCTATGGGGCAGACCCCCCCTCCCGCGGCAGGGGAAGCTGGCGCATGGCTTCTCCGGGGCTGACCACCCTGCGGTGCAGGGAAACTCCCCCCGTGCGCTGCCTCTCCCAGGACTTACCCCCCTCTTGGCCGCAGGGAAGCCGTGCCCCAGGTAAGGCACTGGAAGGGGAAGAGAAAATGGAAGTGGCAGGGTATTTGGAATTTGGCGCTCCATGTAACTTGGCGCCCTAGGCGGCTGCCTAGTTTGTCTATAGGCACGGACCGCCCTTGGTGTTGGTAGGTGGTGACAGATTGAGGGAAGCGGTGATTATTGGAAGGATACAGGCAGTGAAGGCAAATAGAAAGGTGTAGAAGGGAACTACAGGAACAATTGTTTCAGTATGTTCCTTTACTCTGAAAGAAGCAATGTAATTTAAGGAAGCTCGCTGGAAACTGCAGATTTTATGAAGGAAGGACTGTGTCTAGCTCTGTTTGCATTGCAGTATAGATTAAAACATTAATTGAAGGGGAAAGATTATAGTTAGTATCACTTTTGAAGTGGACGCTAAGATTAAAAATGTGTTTAAGGGGGAGACTAAAAACAATGCAAGAACCCAGGCTTGTAAAGCCTGAAAAAAGATGGTGCTCACAGTTTAAATAAGAGTCACCTCTATAGTGTTGGGGTACGTATAGACTGCAAGCTTTTTTCAAAAGAGAGTGTCCACACCTTAAAACCAGATCAAAAAAGCGATCTGCTATTTTGAAAGAAAGCATCCAGACTGCATGGATGCTCTCTTGAAAGAAAGCCCTGATTGCTATTCGCAGAATGGACCAGGGCACCTGTGCTTTCTTTGACTGCCTCTTCTTTCGAAAAATGTCCCTGTTCTGTGTCCACATGCCTTTTGTTGAAAGAGCTCTTTCCAAAAAGGTGTTCTTCCTCGTAATTTGAGGTTTACCAATGTCAAAAAACCCTCTGCATTCTTTCAATTTAATTTCAAAAACACAACACAGGTGAAGTTTTTTCAAAAAAGGGCAGTTTTTTCAAAAAAACAATGTAGTCTAGATATACCCTTAGAGCAGTTTGAGAAGAGTGGAATGAATCATTATTGAAGGGAGTAAGATGTTCCTGGTACAAACCTGGATTCTTTCTACTAAAATTTTACAAAAATCAGCCAGAGGGGACCATGCTGATCTTTGACTGCTGTTGAGAATTTCTTGCATTTACTTGTTAACTATTATTTTGACCAAAAGTGTCACGGAATGTAAACTCAATAAAAACCATTAAATCAGTTTACAAAACCCACTGTTGTCATAAAAAGAGCAGAAATAATTAATCCTATGCTAATCCTATATAACAGAATTTATTCATTACATCCTTTGAAATCTATCTCTTAACATTGTAAATACTAATGACTCTGATGCTGTAAAGCAGCAGTTATATTACCTTGCAAGCATGAAAGAAGTGCTTTATTGTGTCAGTATTACAGTGAATTGAAATGATTTTATAGCACTCTGCTTATGGCCCTTAGTATTTTTGAAATATGCACTTGATTGAAAAATGCACAGAATTGATTATATTTTGGAGGAGGCTTTTTAATACACATCAAGGGCCAAGTTATTGTGTTTGGATATGTAGATACAGCATCCACTGACAGAAAGAATATGATCTATGTATATGTTTGTGAAGCGTGAACCAAGACTGTTTATTTTTTAACCCCCTGTTTGTTTTTTCTCTTGCTTTGTTTTAGAATGGTTATTTATGGACAGTACTGTAGTCAAGTGGAGACAGCCATCACCTGCTTAGACAACATCTCTAAGACAAAAGAAGATGTTAAATTGAAGTTAGAGGTATTAATATTTATTTTTATGTAGAAAAATATTTTGCTGCTCTCCTAACTGCCCATTCTTACATGTGGATCTACTAGTTTCTCCTCCCCCCGACTTGTTAATTGGAGTAACTGATCAAATAGTCTTGTCACGTAGAGAAAGAAGAGATCAAGTCCTGGCACCACTGAAGTCAGAAGAAGTCTTGCCATTGACTTCAATTGGGTCAGAATTTCACTCAAGAAGTATTTTTGTCAATAAAACATTTTTCTCATGGTGTGCTAGGTGAGAGTGAAGGTAGCTGAGAGTAAAATATGCTTATAGTTAGAATAATGTTTAAAGTCTAAACACTGTCTATAGGCACATCTCTGAACAAGGGATCATGTGTGAAACACACCACCCGAGGGGAGCCATAAGAGACACGGTGCTTCATATCCTCTTTGGGCTGGAGGGTAATTAGTCCTTTACAGGACATAGCGTACAGCTCATCAGCTTAGGTGAGGAAGTGAGCATGAAGGATGGGAGTTAGATGATCCCATCTGTGATAAATAGGCTTTCTAGTTTTTAGATTTACTAGTCACCTTCAAGTCATACCGTTGTCATGCCTGCTGTGCTGTTTATGCCTTCAACTGATAAGACAAAGGCTGTGTCTAGACTGGCAAGTTTTTCCGCAAAAGCAATTGCAAAAAAAACTTGCCAGCTGTCTACACTGGCTGCTTTAATTTCCGCAAGAACACTGACTTCCTACTGTCTGAAATCAGTGCTTCTTGTGGAAATACTATGCTGCTCCTGTTCGGGCAAAAGTTTTGCGCAAAAAAACCCCAATCGCGAAAATGGCGATCGGGGCTTTTTTGCGGAAAAGCGCGTCTAGATTGGCACGGACGCTTTTCCGCAAAAAGTGCTTTTGCGGAAAATCGTCCGTGCCAATCTAGACGCTCTTTTTCGCAAATGCTTTTAATGGAAAACTTTTCCGTTAAAAGCATTTGTGGAAAATCATGCCAGTCTAGACGTAGCCAAAGAGTCTGCTATTTGGCTGCAGTGTTACCCTTGAACTACCTTTTCGGCACTACCTCAGTGATTCTAACTACTCTCGCTGTTGCTCTTGTAGACATGCACAGCTTCACATCAACAAAACTCTGTGTGATATCTCTGATTGTAGCATTTACTAGCCAATTAGCCCATCATAAGACGGGATTTTCAGGTCTTCTCTCCTGAGTGCTCTCTCTCTCATTCTCTCTCTCTCTCTCTCTCTCTCTTTCAAATGCCTCCCTCCCCCTCA